TTGAGAAATAACATACCAAAAAGTTTCGGAATTCAAAATGGTGGCTTTCCTAGCTACGGACTGGTAGAACGTGGAATCTAACCCTTTAAAATATTTGTCAACGTCCAATGAAAATAATCGTTAAAAACGAATTGCATTAGAATGTAGTTTTGAAATCCTTAAAGACAACCTCTTAAAAACAATCTTTATCAAAACACAGTATGGCATATGAAAACAATTCGAAAACAAATTTTTATCTGTTGTGTTGTTTCAGTTTTACGTGTCCTTACTCTGTGATCACTAAATCACTATTCTTTTTAGTCAGGCATAGCACCTGTATCTTTTCAGTGTATTGCAGAAAATATTTGCATACACATTTTTCAAAATACTGTTATTTTATAGATTTAGATTAATAGTTATCACGGCTCAATCACAGTTATTTAGGAAGTTTGTTATTAATTACAGATTGTAACCTACTAATGTCTATTTCACTGCTATAGGTACTTCTTTATCTCTGAAAAATACCAATGTATATATACATTTAGTTTAGTACCATGCAGTATATATTTTAATTCTTTAGAGAAAGCGCATATACTCAACTTTCAGAATCGACAGCCTTTTGCCGTCAAGTTGTGTGCATTTTTCTTTAACTATTTATAAAAAAAAACCGATAAAGATTCATGATATGTTTTAAACTCGATGCTCACATCTGAATGCGTCAGATATCGTTTTTAAAGATAGCACTTGTTTTCAATATGTCGCCAATCAAAAACTAAATTGAGACGGCGCAAGAAAAAAAAACAACCCCCAAAACCCAATTTTTCACAGAACTATTGAAAATCTTTAAACCTATGCAAATTCATATTTATAAAGAAAATTTAATGGAAATAATAGTTTCTGGTTTCAAAAATTGGTTCCATTGTTAGAACAAAGTTTATTTCACACTGATTCCAAAAACACTGATAGATTTAGACACTTATATCTGAAGTAAGTACAAATATAGCTTTTTTCCGGTTAACACAAGGTCACTTGCGGTCAACATTTTTCATAGTCAAATGTTTTCAAACCTTATGCAAAAGACTCTATGACTCTATATCTTATACCAGTATGAAGATATAGCAAAGGTCAAAATCTAGATCGTCATGTATACCTGTGACCTTGACGCCAGTATCAAAGTCATAAGTCATGGATCTAAAATGAAAAACCAAACGTCTCAATTGTGTATGGTTTAGGAGTTATACTGCCAAACATCTAATTTCAAATATTGAAGTCAAGATAACTCTAATCAGAAAACATGTACGGTTACACAGATTCAACTGCGAAAGGGTAATCACTGTTTAATATCGTTTGCCAAAAACCTTTTCGAATCGTGTGTATCTTGAGAAACCATCTTAACATACAAAATAACGAGGGAAAATCCGAGTTCAAATACCTAATTATACCATATACAACAATGTTCGAAGTTACTGAAAACAAGCTCAAGAACGTCAGCTGCTCATATAAAAACAGCCATGCCTCAACTACACTCTAACGTCATTCTGAAATGATCTGAAGTGTACATGTATGGTGACTATGAATATTCTCTTCCGTAATGAAACAATCGTTTATTATATTTGATCTTGAAAATACGCAGGCTTTAAATAGAATTTAAGTGTAGACGTTTATCAGAAACAACTGGTAATTGTGTATTGCCTATTAATCAAACAAAATCTCGAGTTCATCAAGTAGCAAGGGAAATACTTTAGATTTGTAGAAACTTTTAAAAGGAACGTAGGCACACAGATATACCTATACATATATAATATGAAGTCCAAATGTCCAAAATACGCATAATGAGAGAGAGAGAGAGAGAGAGAGAGAGAGAGAGAGAGAGAGAGAGAGAGAGAGAGAGAGAAAGAAAACAATTTAATGTCAATGTTTATTAAGATTTTTGTACATATTTCTTCAGTTATTGCCTCGTTTGTACAGGCATTTATTTAATTCTTTATGCAAAACTCCGGCTTTGGCTATACTTTTGTCCTTTTTTGCGGTAACTCAGATTTTTCATTTTTGAATTTTCAAAACTTTGGCCTCGAGGATCACTCACTGAAGAGATATTTATTGTAGAAATGAGCATCTGGTTAAGTAAAATAGGTACCGTTAATGATATTAATACAACTGATTCGATACTTCTGCATGTGAACTGTAACTACCCGAGGGATTGACTAGCCTCGTGGCCAGTGCGTCGGTTTTGGCATGAAAATACGGTATTATATTATTGATATTTGTTTTTATGAAAATTTTGGAAATTATTTCATATTAAGGAATATATCCTAATGCAATGCTCTGGTTCCTCGCCAGACTTAGGCTATTTTTTTTTTGTCTTTTTTGTTTTATGAGCTCTTCAATTTTTTAATGAGTTTTGGTTTTTCAACTGGAGCATCACTGTAGAAACATTTATTGTCGAAATGCTCCTCGTGTACCGCTAATGTTAATATGTCAGTTATGCAGTTGAGTTTCAAAGACGTCAAAGTTGTTTGATTCATACTTTCGGTTGATTCTTGGGCAGTTTTTTGGTTCGTTTGTTATAAAGAAGTTTTTGATCTATTGCTCTTTGAAGTTTTAAATGACGGACATTTTACCCTTGAATTAGATTACTTTTTAGAGGCGTTTATCAGAAACAATTGGTAATTGTGCTTTGCCTATTAATCAAACATGAACATCTCGAGTTAAAGATTTGTCCCCCTTGCACTTTCTATTAGCAGTTTCCAATAAAATAGGATCTGACTCCTGAATAAGAAAAACAATTTTGCCAAGTGTATATGCTGGTTGCTTTTCACGGAACAGATGTGTCTATTGCTTACACTTATTTGATGGATATAACTGTTAGTAATAGTGAAAGTTTAATAGAAAGTTAATATTGTTACATTGTTACAACACGTGTGTCTGGAATGACCTCCATCAGGTACAATCGTGCAACACGTGTTTCTGGAATGAACTTCATCAGTTACATTCGTAACAACACGTGTTTCTGGAATGACCTTCATCAGGTGCGCTCGTGACAACACGTGTTTCTAGAAAGACCTTCATCAGATACGCTCGTGACATACCGTGTTTCTGAAATTACCTTCATCAGGTTCCCTTGTAACAACACGTGTTTCTAAAACGATCATCATCGGGAACGCTTGTAACAACACGTGTTTCTGAAATGAACTTCACCAGGTTCACTACTCGTGACAACACGTGTTTCTGGAATGACCTACATCAGGTTCACTCGTAACAACAGGTGTTTCTGGAGTCACTTTCATTAGGTTTACTCGTAACAACACGTGTTTCTGGAATGAACCTCTTCAAGTACACTCATAATAACACGTGTTTCTGGAATAACCTTCATCAGGTTAACTTGTAACAACACGTGTTTCTTGAATGACCTTCATCCGCGTCACTCGTAACAACACGTGTTTCTGGAATGAACTTCACCAGGTACACTCATAATAACACGTGTTTCTGAAATGACCTTCATCAGGTTAACTTGAAACAACACGTGTTTCTGGAATGCTTTCATCGGCGTCACTCGTAACAACACGTGTTTCTTGAATGACCTTCATCGGCGTCACTCGTAACGACACGTGTTTCTGAAATGAACTTTTCCAGGTACACTACTTGTGACAACACAGGGTTTTTCTCAGATTAACTTAATTTTATAAAAACTTAATTAAATCATTCTTGTTATTAAACTGTATTAAAAAAAATACGATGACTAATTATTGAATTTTCCACATAATCGTGATTTTTTATAGTATGTTTTGTTTTTGACTTCCACTTGAAAAAGGACATTTTATTTCAATTAACCCTTGAACTAAATACGGAACTTTTTAAAGACACGATAACAAATTCTAAATATAATTGTTGGAGATCGCATGGATAAAACAATGAGATTATTTATATAAAAAGTTTTCAAAATTGAAATCTCATTTCTAATAAATTACGTACATCAAATTGATCAAAAGTTAGAGCAAGAATATCCTTAGCGCTGAATAAGTAATTAAATATTCTTCATCAATCGAAAAAATATGTTTTTATTTATGAAATAAGAATATTTTTTTCGCAGAAAAACCATACACTCTATATATGCTGATGTCATACAAGTAAAATATTTCTCGAAACCCAACTGAAGTGCATATTTATGATGTGTACATTAATTCACCACTTAAATACACTTATAAAATACTACCGTTAAGTAAGGAAAACGATAGTAAAACTTCTACATGTTCTATACCACCATCTATGTGAGACATTGTAGATCATTGTATTAAGAGGTTCTATAACGCTAATAGAAATCATGTGGATCTTGTACTTTTTAGTAATTGGTTTATTGTTGGTAAGTAGTTTCTATTTATACGAATCCTCTTTGTTAGCTGTTACAAATGGTGTGAATTACTTCTTATGCTGTTTTTCAACATCATGTATAATTTATGTTTCAATAAAAACCATCCACGTCTGCCGTAGTCTACTCTCTTGGCCTTTGTTTGCTAATAGTTAATTTGCATGTAAATCTATCATTGAATGATTGCTAGTTGCTAAACGTACAGTGACAGTTATTGAATTCCTATTTAGTACGATATTTATATTAACGTTATTGCATGCTATGATAAAAGACAATGTTGCAAAAAAGTATAAAATGTTACAAACCTTTCCGTGGAAAATGGATATCGGATATCTATAATAACTTTCAACTCTTCATATTAGAGAAGTACTTGAGGAATACATTTTTAAGATACGCGTTGCACCTGTTTCTTGAATAATTTTCATTGGGTGCGCTAAACATAGATTAGAAATTTACCGATAAATGTAACACCCAGTGCCGGACTGACAGAATAGTGAATTCAAGAATGTTATCGCAAGCAGGCAATACTAGTTTTAATCAATGTTAACGGTTGTTTGCATCTTAGGGCCAATATTTTCAATGATATAACCAAAGGTAATATAGGTACCGAATATTGCAATAAATAAATACGAAAATATTTGAATTGTAGATTGAATTTTGTGAGAATTCTAAAGTCAATATTACACATGACATTGGTGGTGCGATAAAGCACTGTATACCCATATATAACTGTCCACCCGGTAAGTCAATGATATAGCACTTATAAGATTGATAAACATAGAGTTTTGTACTGATGCATAAGCATATGCATAATTATAACATAAACTACTTAAATTAGCTGCTGTATAAATGACGTTTATCAATATCTTCTTGTTTTTGTATCAAGCATGATATTAAGGAAAACAGCAAATATAGTCCTTAATGGGATTTGCCTGTTGTTGAATGCCATACGGTGACCTATAGTTGTTAACTTTTACTACATTTGGTCTCTGGTGGAAAATAGTCTCATTGGCAATCATACCACATCTTCTTATTTTTTTACTTGAATGGTGTAAACTTCTCACATATAACAGACACCAGTACACTATGCACCACACACCATACACTATATCCCATTACACCAAACACCAAACACCATACATCATGTACCATACACCAAACTCAACACACTATACCTAATTACACCATACACCATGCACTATACCCTATTACACCTTACACCAGTACACTATGCACCATACACTATGCACCATACACTATCACATCATACAAAATAACACCTTACAACATTCCACGTACTGTATACACCGTGCAATATTTTCCTTTCCCCTTTCAAATTTGAATTATACTCGATTCGCGCCGTTCAAAATTATCCACAATGTACGTGTATGAGGGAATTGCAAATTTCAACAAATGTTTAATGAAATTACATAACATTTAAACACCATTACACCATTGCACCATTGCACCATGCACCACTACACCACACACCATTACACCACACACCATACAACCTACACCATTACACCATACACCATAACACCTGATACACTATACACCATTACACCACACACCATTACGCCATACATGATTACACCTGATACACTACATACCATTACACCATACACCATAACACCATAAACCATACACCATTACACCATACACCATTACACCATACACCATTACACCATATACCATTACACCATATACCATTACACCATTACACCAAACACCATTACACCATACACCATAACATCATAAACCATTCGCCGTACACCACACACCACTACACCATACACCATTTGCCGAACAACACACACCATTACGCCATACATTGTTGCAATAAATACGTTTCATAGGGAAGTTTACACCATTTAAGAACACTACAAGTAGAAAATTGAATACTACTGACATACATCTATATCTTAGCTTCTGCCAATCTTACGTTATCACAATGACTTTCGAATGACATGACGTGATTGAATAACAGGATAGACAGGATCCAGTTCACAATTATACCATACATTACATACCTGGTTTTATGAGGTACCTTATCATCGGAAATTAAGTTGTGAATTTAACAACAGTAAAAGATATGCTTCAATATATTATTTTATGTTTAACAGAAAAAGCAGACAATTGGTATGCATCAATTAGACAGCAACCCCATGACACAAATTACTAAAATAAAAGATTTGCCACCCTGAATCTTTTGCGCTAGTGTAAAAAATACATTCAATTAAGCATTCCATGAATGGTTTTCTCATGTCTTTCATTTTCGACGGAATAAGCAGACTAGTCGACTCAAAACAGCTACACCTGTACATATCATGTATCAGAACTTCTGCACCCAGGACTGGAAGTACGCTTACTTATCTAGCGACCAACCTACAGTCTTCTCCAAAAGACAAGTAAATATTTAATATACAAAGCCCTTAAATGCCTCGAGTAAAAAATTTGGGGTGTAAAATTTTACAGACCCTTTCAAACACCTAATTCTCCAAATAATGAAAAAGAAACATTATATGTAACATGTGATGACCATTGATGAGCATCCGACCTGTGACATTGATAGGCACATGTCTCTTTGGCGGAGTTAAACTAATGTTTTGATAAATTTAACTTCACCCTTTAAATCTTAACAACATACAAGAAATTCAGTAAGAGAAAAAAATGGAAGTTCCTGAATTAAGGGAGATAACTTTTTAATTCAGGAATGCACTTGTTGTATTAGTTCTATAAATACATTTGTAAGTATCAAGTGACACAGAATTAAAATAATCAGTGTTTATAAGAAACTTAGAATTAATTCATGAAAATCGTTGACTAGTAACGTTCCAGTAAGTTCAAAGAGTTGTATTCTTTAAGCTTGGTCCAATTTACTGTTTATATAAATAAGAAGATGTGGAATGAGCGCCAATGAGACAACTCTCTATTCAAGTCTTAATGTGTAAAAAGTAAACAATTATATGTCAAAGTACGGCCTTCAACACGGAGCCTTGGCTCACGCCAAACAGCAAGCTATAAAAGGGGCCCCAACATGACTAGTGTAAAACAATTCAAACAGGAAAACCAACGGTCTAATCTATATAAAAAACGAGAAACGAGAAACACTTATGAACCACGACAACAAACGACAACCACTGAACAACAGGCTCCTGACTTAGGACAGGTGCATACAATTACAGCGGGTTTATACTCCGACTTTGACATCTTAACTAAAGTCAATATAAAAAAAAAGAAGATATGGTATGATTGCCAATGAGACAACTCTCCACCAGGGACCAAATGACGAGGAAGTTAACAACTATAGGTTACCGTACAGCCTTCAACAATGAGCAAAGCCCATATCGCATAACAGCTATAAAGGGCCCCTAAATGACAAATGTAAAACAATTCAAACGAAAAAATTAAAGTCAGTAAATTTCAATCCTTGTATCTATGATGAGTTTATGTATTACTTTTTTTACTTTCAATCTCAGTTGTTTACTTCTTTTCCTGTATTCCTTTTATCTAATTTCAACTATAGCTAGTTAACAAAACTCTTTGTGACGGGTTTCAAACAGGCTCATATTAACAAAAACACAAAAACCAGCTGATTTCACTTCGTAATTATATGTATAAATACGTGAAACAATTATATGTATTTGGCAACAAGAATATATCACCAATAAATTATCCTAAGCAATTGACCAAACTTTAACACATAATCAGAACGTGTCTTCATGGAAATAAGGACGCGCAAATCATGTTTGTATCATATGAATTGATTACATGTTTGCTTTTATAACATATTTAACATTTATGTTTAGGACATGAAATTTTACCATGCAAAGCTGAAAACACTAAAGACATCTGTACACCGTGTCCATCAGGACTTGTCCAGCCTGATTATATACAGTCTATCGAGGACACGACTCTTACCAAGTGTTTTAAGAATAAAAATATCGATAAATGTCGTTCAGAAGGTATCTATTTAACATTTTTTATTGGTGTATGGTCTAAAGGGAGAATGGGGACACTGACTTGTGCATTGGGCGGATTCAAACGGGATCGGCTAGCTACAGGCGCATGCCCTCTGAAATTTGAAGAAGAAAAAATATTTTGGCAAACAAACGTCGACATTATCCAAATCGGTTCACTCGGAGAAATAGTAGCTTTGTTACTGCTTAAAATAAATCCTGGAATCGCCCCTATTCTGTTGTCTAAAGGGCGAAAGTAGACACACTATTTCACATTTACTTTGCAGTACAAAAACAGGGTGACAGACCAAACATAATCGGAAAAATTCATATAAAAAGCCATCCCACTCATATATAAAATAAAAATATAATCTTTACAACGGTGTACATAATATGTCTTTGGGATTACATAACTCACATTAACTGTGTATATCCAAAAAGAAAACCTATATAGGTGACAAACATTTAGATATACAATTGACTACATCTATGTAGTTTAAAACAAACTTAAAATACTACCCGGTAATTAATTTTCCCTGAATCATTTTTGACCTGTATATTAACGACCACAATCACATGGAATAGACAATATAAAGCTGAAAATAATCATTAAATGGAAAACAATATATATACTGAATAACGGCAGCAGTTGTTTACCGATTTTCAAATCTCGTAAACCGAATAAAGAAAAAAACCAAACAAGGTACTAAACAAAAAGTGAGGTAATCGTATGAATTCCAAAAGGAGGGAGACCGGGTACGTTGAAAGGGTAACCGTTTTCTGATATCCATGTATCACCCGCCATGAGAATCCACACTGTGTCTCAATGTTACAGTTCGGAATAGGACACATATACTGGTATCTAAAGATCTAATATTGATTGGTGTTTGACGCCACTTTCAACACTATTGTGCTATTTCGTGGCGGTCAGTTTTTATTGATGGAGGAAGCCGGAGTGCCTGGAGAGAACCACCGACCTTCGGTAGGAAAACTGACAATCCTAGTCAATAAAGATTGGAGTCGAGTGCACCTAGCCGTGCGGGATTTGAACTCACAAACTCAGTGTTGACTGGTTAGTGATACAGTAGTTGGACTACTTAGACCACTCGGCCACCGAGGCCACTGAAGATATAAGACTACGCAAACATGTAGCTATTGAGTTCAACGAAAATGTGGCGATATTTTAATTTTATTTGCTTCTCTTAATTATAAAATATAAATTGAAGCAATCTGATCTGTTTATACCGTACCATTTATTTACCAAATATGTACCTGTATTCTTTAAAATATTTCAGATTTAGAGCCTAGTCGTAAAAACAGCGCAAAAGGTTGTGGTTCTAGCGTAGAGTTTTGTAAGTGTGATACAGACAAGTGTTACTCTGGCGACCCATGTGTCTGTACATATCGTAAATGTGGTCTGGGTGAAACTATGCTTTCAAATGGAAGTAAGTCATTACTTTACTGCCGTGGTAATTTGTTTCTATATTTGTAATCCTTAACATATCATAAACTATTGATTGTAAAAAAATATTATCCTCGTTTAGAGTAAGATACATTTAATTTTAATATATATTGTCAATAAAAAATGAGATGCAGAAGGGAAAGTGAACAGATTTTCCATTTTTGCCTCTAAAAATATGATCAGTAATATTTTATTCATTCACGTTTTAACACAGGTTGAAATGTACACATGGATTTATATAGCCTAACAATTAATTATTATTGCACCCATCATTTTCTATAAATCATGTTAACAAATAATCTTTAGTAAGTAAAATAAATAATCGGCAAAGATGCATCCATGTTAGCCCAATCCTAACCGTTTACATTTCAGCCTGCCTCAAATGTCCAGCAGGAACATGGAAAAATGAATCCGGATGTGGTCCATGTTTTCTTTCCCAAGCTCCAGTTGTAAGGTACGTAAATTTTTACAAAATATTTAACAAAAATTAACATCAAGTTTCATTGTTCAATCACAATTAAGAAATCACGAAGTAGTTATTAATGGGTATTGTGTCTAGCTAGCGATGACTTTGTCGAGACAAGTCTTGAACAATAGAGGAAAAATACCTGCAATTTAAAAGACAATACAATGAACAAATGTTGTTTTTCTTTTGATCAATTACTGAAATTATTTGTTGGTTAATTTTAAGACATCAAATAATTATCTTTTTATTTTACCACTAGCAGTAATTGTTGTTAGGCGGAGACGTTTACGTTTTGTATGATTGAATACATAGCATCACTTAGGATTTATTTGCTACTAGATACATTATTGTAACGGAATTGCCTCTCTTACATGTACAAGTTGGAGGTGTAGCACGCTGTAAAATCTGTTCCACTACTAGTTTCTTTTAAATGTATGTGAATCAAGTTAAGAATATGACATTCTTACTTTAGGAAGAACCACACTAATTGCCACAATAAATACACCGAAGATGATATCATCAAAATGCTGTTTTTTTATCGACAAACTATGTGTTCAGTTTGTGGATTAAATTTTCAGCAGACAATCAGTGCAATGTACTCCAATGGGCACTTAAAGTGCATCACTACTGACAGATTTGGATTTGGATTTTATTCGTATGAAGCCGAATTCCGACAGAACCTTCTCAAAGACAAATCGAAAAAGCATCTTGCGAAGTTCTTTAATTTCCACTTTCAGATACTAGTATCTCGATGATGTTTTGTCACTCAATAGTCCACATTTTAATGGGTGCTTACATCTCATATGTCCCAGTAAACATTATATTAAGGATACTATCGAAAGTAAAAGGTCTGGCTCATGTCTTGATCTCAATATTGACACAAATGGACGACTTCAAACTATAATCTGTCTTACGTGTTGATTTCCACTTTCCAATGATTTTCCGATTTCTTAACTAGTACACTGTAAAATTGTTTCAGTTCAGTACTCAGGTAACACATAGAATATTTACGTCTACAAAAACAAAAAGGTTTGTATGATTATGTAATAATCAATTGAACATGAACCTATACTCTTAGAATGAATAAGAAAAATGTATAACTAAATAAAGGCAACAGTAGTATACCGCTGATCGAAATTCATAAATCGATTGAGAAAAATACAAATCCGGATTACAAACTAAAACTGAGGGAAACACATCAAATATAAGAGGAGAACTACGACACAACAGAAACACAACATTAAAACGTAATAAACACAGAAACGAACTTTAATATAACAATGGCCATTTTTCTGACTTGGTGCAGGACATTTAAAGAAAAAAATGGTGGGTTGAACCTGGTTTTGTGGCTTGCCAAACCTCCCGCTTTTATGGCAATGTTAAATATAACATTAAAATGACAACATTACATGACAGGACTACAATACAAATAAATGGGAGAACATATAGGACAGAGAAACATACAAATAATAGCTAACAAAAAGTACCAGGTTTAAAATTTAATACGCAAGACGCGCGTTTCGTCCACACAAGACTAACCAGTGACGCTCAGATCAAAACAGTTCGAAAGCCCAAACAAGTACAAGAGCATTGAGGACCAAAAGTTCCAAAAAGTTGTGCCTAATACGGCTAAGGTTTTCTGTCTGGGATAAGAACATCCTTATTATTTAGAATAATTCATACTTTTGCAAACAGTAAATTTATAAAAATGACTATATAATAGATATACATGATAACACCGAAGTGGTGACTAACTACAGAATAAAAACGGATACATTAAACAACATAAACCAGCACATAAAAATTCACAGCCGAGTTAGCCAAAGAGATCAACGCACAAAGTGACGTCACATTTTAATTTCTAAAAATTTCCCCAAAATAGGATAGAATTAGGATAGAATTCAAATTTAGGTTTGTAAAACTCATATAACATTTATTAATAACAATGAAAATTATGATAATTAATTGTATTATCTAGCTATGTCGGTGTTTCTTCTAAATCAAACTGTAAACCAAATATATCGTAAAAATTTTAGTTGACCCAAACTAAAATCTAATAAATGAACTGGATGATTAATTATCTTTACCATAACACACGAATACAACAGAAAAAAATAAGATTTACAACTACAAACGATAAGACATTTAAAAAATCCGATGAGAATAACAAATATAACATCAAAACTAAATACATGAATTTTGGATAGAAAAGTACCGTGACACGTCTTATAGCAATGCAAATTCACACTCAGCAAAACAGTGACAATCGGGAATAAGTTACGTTCGGTAATTAAAAGATCAGACGACGTAATGTCAAACCACAATCTAACACGTGGTAAAAATGTCCTTAGTTAGTTTGGACAAAGACACATCGTATGGATCAACCAATTCGTGATGGTGTCCGTAAAATTTACGGAGTGTCATTTTCAATCTGTCCTCCTCATAACTTTGTTGGAGCAGTTTCTGCATTAGGAGCACACTCCTGTATATGCAGTCCGTATAGTGTGAACATGCACGAGCATAACGTATCAACTGAGATATGTAAACACCAAACGAAGGGGCAGAGGGTATGTTACTGCTGAGAAATGGGAAATTGATATTTGGGAAGTTGAAATCGTTCCGTTTATCATAGATTTTCGTGTGAAGTCGTCCATCTGTGTCAATATTGAGGAAAAGATCAAGGTATGAAGCAGTCCTTCTAGTATCAGTAGTATCCTTAATTTCAAGTTCACTGGGATATATGAGATGTAACTATTGGCTGAAATATGGGTTATTCAATGATAGGACATCATCAATATATCGGAAAGTAAAATTAAAGAATTTCGCAAGGTGCTTTTTCTTTTTGTCTTTTAGAAGGTTCTGAATGAATTCTGCTCTTCATACGAGTACAAAAACAAATCGGCCATAAGGGGTGCATAATTAGTACCCAATTAGTAAAATTGAAGATTATTTATGCATTGGAATAGAAAACTTTATTGGATCAAATGCTTTTGACATGTCGGGAACGATAAATTTTCAGAAAATTATCGTATTAATGACTGTTCCTATCTTTCAGTTTTTTTCCCCTGCATATTGAAAATTAACTACTCCTACCTATCACTTGATGGACAATTAATTTTTACAATTAGACACCAAGTTTGTAGTATTGTATCAGGTTTTTTTTAAGTTTACCATTGCAATGCACATTCAATTTTGTGTACGTTGAAATCTGTATTCGGTGAACTGTAACATGCAGTCAACAAATATATTATATAATACCCTTGTCGTAGCAGCTAGTATACAGTAAAATTGTTTGATTTTAGCACTCAGAAAACACAAAGAATTTTAACATCTACGAAAACAAAAAAGTTTGAATGTCTATATAATAATCATTTGAAAATTAACCCTTAAAACGAATGAAAACAAATTATATTGCTGTTATCAAAATTAATGAAAAAGGGAAAAAATACCGAGCTTAAAGGAAAATTCAAAACGGCAAAATCAAAAGCTCAAACACATCAAACGAATGAAAAACCTGTCATATTCCTGACTTGGTACAGGCATTTCCTTCTATAGAAAATGGTGGATCAAACCTGGTTATATAGCTTAACCTTTCACTTGTATGGCAGTCGCATAGAATTCCATTATATTGACAGCAATGTGTGATCAAAATAAACAGACATAATAGGTAAAAATGTCCAAAATTTGGGTACAGACATCAACATTGTTTGAAAATATAAAACAAATAACTATTTCAAAAAAGAAAAAACAAAATGGCACGAAGAAACTCTATAGACAAATTACATAAGCAAATGAATGTCGAAAAAATGATATTACAAAAAATAGACTAAATATTTGTAATACTTAAGTCCTATATTGCCAATATGTCTGGTAATAATATGGTTGTATCTTTTAACTTGTATGATAGTACTACAATTTTATCTTTCACGGAAGTATCTGAGGAAATTCAATAGAAAATGAAAGGATATGGAGTAATTGTACATGGTACAAAATCGCACACAATACACAGAAAATTGTCAATGAACAGGGCTTTTATTCCTGTTTTTCATCTTGACAGTTGATGTAGGGTCTTCAACAATGAACGATTCATTCATACCCCACAACAAGGTCAAGACGGCCCCTAGCGTCGACTTAAGCGGTACTATTGATAAAAATAAACCACAGTTCACCTTCTTGCTCCCCACCCGCCTCGGAGTGCCAACTTGTGCGATGCTTGTGTAAAACTACATAAAATTACAACATTTAGATAATCAAATTTTGTCATACAAAATAACAACATTTAAAACTTTGCATTAGATAATCTATAGTTCATTGAAAATATTGGAAAATAAAGAATGGTCCGTGCAATTGTTTTTCTCTAATTCTTACCCGCTTTATCCTTTTCTTGATCCGTTGATTATGTTTAATTAATTATTGTGTGGTTCGTTTGATCTCAGATATTCATTGGTCAAAATTCGATTATGACGTCAAGTTTTCTTGCTCTCCTCTGAAATTCCCATAGGGACGTCACGAAATAGACGACCATGCCTGATGACGTCACATGGAAAGATCACATCTGTTTGCAGATCATTCAAAAAACAAGGATTAAATTTGTCTGCATATAATCTAAAATTGATTAGAAAAAAAGATTCCCCAACCAAAATCTCGTGCAATAAGATATTATTTACACTCGACGATTAAATTTTAAATATTTAAAATGCGCGGACAGCCTCGGGTTTTTTTTAACTGTCTCGAATGGATAAAAATCTTATCATACTTGATGCCATAGTAGAATCTATATTTAACAAACAATCATTGGTAAATGAGATTTTTTGTAAAAAAAAGTCTTTCTGAAATACATTTCAGCTGTTTTTTGTGGTCGTTTTGACTTTTTATAAAAGAATTGTCTTATTTTGCGACTTGTTTATTTGATATCCCGCTCGGTAGCTTTTCACTCTTTTACTTAAATATACGAGAAGGAAACATAAATTAGAAAATCTAGGC